GGCTGCAGCCACTTCAGTGTGAGGTTTGATCCCTGGCCCCAGAGGTGACCACATGGCCCAGCAGACCTCTCCTGTCTCGCCCACTGCTCCCCTCAGCAGTGTACTTCATCAATCTTCCTATTCTGCTCCATACTCTGTCTCTGGTGAATCTTTTCACTATTCCTGCACCTCTGGCCTGTTCCCTAGTTTTGTATGCAAAAATAAATAAATCTTTAAAAAAAAAAAAAGGAAAATGGGGACAGCTGCACATATATCTGCTTTCACATGCTTAAAGCTGAGACCTTAGACGTGGCTGGATTCAGGAACTCACCCAATGTCCCTGGGCCTCAAGTCTCTGGCTTTCACCCTGCCTTTTCCTGTGTTAGCTTCTATATTTAGGTCCAAGGGATCTGACAGGGACCCAGAATTCCACTGGCTTAGCCCTGATGGTAGCAGCTTAGTCATTTTGCACTGTCAAACCAATATATGCAGTTGGGCTCCACCAAGTCAGAACACAGTTGTCTTGGGATGTGCACACCCCTCCCCCACACAAGGTGTTACCCTCACTTGCTCATCAGCACATTTACATCAAGCAGCTAGGAAGGGAGTAGGGAGAGGACTGGAAGGTCATGCCTTCGCCCTCTCAGGGCGTAACCCAGAAGCAGCACTTCTGTTCACGCCCCCTCGGCCAGGACTTCATGGGGAACTCTGAGGACAGAGGAGGCTGGAAGATGTGGCTTTAGCTGATGGCCGCATGGGCAGCTAAAATTTCTATTTCTAGAGAGTATAGGGAGAATGGGTATTGCAAGACAAACATGGCCTCATTTTCCAGCCACTTCTCTGGAGGGCAGTGGCCACTCCGGGCTTAGGCATACGGTTAGCAATCTTCTCCGGAAGACAGCATTGCTCTCTTAACAGTTCAGCAGAAGTCCCAGGCCTGGCTTTTATTGTCCCAGTGTAGGTCATTCGCCTGTCCCCAAACCAATCACAGGGACATGGGGATGGGTACTCTGATTTGTCTCTGACTGGCCAGGCCTGGGACATGTGCCCAGAACTGCACCGGAAGGAAGGTATGTTACTTAGGGAATCCCATAGGGGAAAAGAGGAGCTAGTTCCTCATAGCCAAATGAAGGGGTGTTACTAGAAAACCATAGATGGATCCTGAGCAGCCAAAGTGCACCCACCGAGGTTCTGCAGCTCCTTGAATCCATAAGGAGGTAAAAAAAAAAAAAAAAAAGTCACACAGCCGTTCCAGGCTGGCTGGAATAACTGTCGTGGCGGCTAGGAGCCAGTTGATAGGAAAGGCATAGATGTTGAAACCTCAAAGCAACCCTGGGGGTGAAGAGAGAACCACATCAGAAGAAACTAGGCTAAGAACAGATACGTCTACATTGCCTGTCCACGCCACACACACTAAGGATGCGCACCACCCATCAGAATCCTCAGAGAGTTCTTAAGGCTTTCACACAGCAATGAAAAGCAGAGCGGCTTTCTAAATTAAGAAAGCACAGTAACCAAATGCAGGCCACAAAGCTGGCCGGATCCTGATTCAAAAAGAATACTTACACAAGATAGGTGGAGGACAATTGCAGAAATTTATTACACTTTTTCTTTTGCCCATCTCATGGGTGGGGAAAAAATCTCAGTGAATATTTAATTTGTTTGTCTTTGTAGGCAGTTGAGCATTCCCCCCCCCCCAATGCCAAAGGATACTTGTATTTCCTTTTCTATTGATTTCGTTTAACCTTTGCTCACTTTTATATACTAGGTTGTTGGTCTCTTCTTATTTGTTTCTAAGCACTCTGTATATTAGGGACATTAGTCCTTTGTGACATGTGTCTGTTGATGTTTTCTGATCTGATCTTGAGTCTGTCTGTCTCTGTAGGTCGGTGAGGCACTGATCCTGCCAAGCTGTCAAGAGCACTGTATGTGCTTGCGTAACCAAGGTCTCCGATGCCAGCCCTTTGCCTGCCCACAGGGCACAGACTGCGTCCTAGCAGGGGGGAAGTGGTCATGTGAGGCTGGGGAGGGTGCCACATGTCGCCTCATGCCTGGGGGCCTCTTCACCACCTTTGATGGCTTCAGTGGGCTGGCACCCGTGCCAGTTATGCCTTGTGCCTACGATCTGGCCTCACTGGTGGGTTCTGGGCCTGAAGATCCTGACTGGTTCCATGTCATTGCTGACTTCCCACCATGTCCAGGATGCCCTGCCACCAAGCCGTGGGTGATCATCAATTTCAGGGATGGCTGTGCAGCTGTGGGACCCAATAGGGAAATACGGGTAAGCGATTTCCTCGACCCCAGCCAAGACTTGTGCCTAGCCTGGCACCTTTTCCTAGGGCCTGTTGATCTCCCACTGCCCCTCTGTACTTTTTAATGTGGAACTGTTCTGCCATGATCCTCTGATCACACAGTGACCTCTGTTGGCTTAATGACCTGGCCCTGACCTGCCCATCCCTCACTTCACCTTGAACTTCTCAACACCAATTGACCCCATCTTGATCCAAAACCTGCTGAATGCCTGGGAACTAGTGAGACTGTAATAGGGGAAACACAAGCCTAAACAATCAGGGTTGGAGTGGGGGACACACAGGAGGCTGTTGAAATCCAGAGGAAGTTCCCAGCATAGGAGATGAGTAAAGGGAGTGAAAAATGAGCTGAGGCTCCTTTGAAGCAAGGAGCAGCATTGCAGACCTAGACCCAGAAAAGGCAGTCAAGTGTTTGACTGAGGTGAAAATGAAGTGATGAGCATAAAAGAGACCACTGTATGTCCATGGGTTGAACATCAAGGAAACTGTTGGTGATTTCTAGATCACAAGACCCAGGAAGGAGAGGGAGAGCGCCTGGATTCCCGAGTTGAGGAGTGAGACTTAAGTGGGGACAGCAATTGTCCACGTAGAAAGGGGAGGATAGAGATCAACAGTTGGCGAGGGGGTCGAGGGGGTCGTAGAACTGGTTTATTATGGTTTTGAGATTGGAGAAACTCAAGGGTATTTAAGTGCTAATGGGAAGAAGTTGGAAATCCAGGAGAGAGATGCTAGGGTGGAGGGTACCTGGCTCCTCAAGGAACATGGAAGCCAGAGCAGCATGTTCTGGAAGAGGCAAAGTGGATATTTGTGAGTAAGGGGAAAACAAACCTGAAACCCCATGCTGAGAATAGGACTCAGCTGTGCAGCTTGAGGCCTGACGCTGGCTGGAGGAGCAGGAATGGGGTACCGGGCACACGGCAGGTAAGCTAAGGCGGGACCTTTGGTTGCAGAGACCCTGACGGTGTCCCTTAAAACTCTAGTGTAGCCTTGCACAAGTCACTCTTGCTGTGCCTAAGTTTATGCGTCTACAATAAGTGGCGATAAGAATCATACCCCCCACCATATAAGGTGACTGTGAAGATGACATGTGAAGTGCTTGGCATATGCTAACTACTCAGTTTGTTCAGTTCAAGCTGTGATCTTGCAGCTACTTTCAGATTATTGGCGAGGCTGCATATGGTGCAGCAGTTAAGAACAAGGTCCTAAAGTCAGACCCCTGGGTTCAAATCTGCTTCTGCTAAGTACTTACCAGCTATGTGAATCTGGGCCTCAGTTTTCTCACCAGTAAGAGGCAAAAGGAAAAGAGTGTTGTAGACAGAACACTGAATGTTGACAGAATGTTGGTGAGGGTTAAATAGCAACTATCACTTAAAACGTTAAATGTTCAATCAATGATAACCACTGTTTTCAAATAAATGTTATATAAAATAGGTGACACTATAAGAGGATATCAATCGCATTGTATTGTATTGTATATTCATCTACTATGTCATACATTATCTTATGGAATAATTAATAAAATATTTAACTCAGTGCCTGGCACAGGGTTAGCAGTCAGGTAAGTTATCCAGTTATAAAGACACAGGCGAGAGAAAACAGCTTTCAGAGGCGTTTTTTGTCTAAAGAGCCTAAGTTTATTTAGAAGCAAGAATAGTGTTAAGAAACTTTATTACAGTTACAAGTATTTTGCAATTCTGGAGTTCATCTTTTCCACCCACCTGTTTTGTTCCTGCGGAAGGATTTTAAAGCAAATCCTAAACCGTATTCCTCTAGCAAAGACCAGGATATGCATTTCATAGACACAAGAATTCTGAGGCCCCTCAACCCAGCACCCGCCGCTAGCCCCGCCTTCGCTCCGCAGGTGAATGGACGCCCCGCGCAGCTCCCGGCCCCGGTGTGCGGAGGCGTGGTGGCGCGCTGGGAAGAGGGCGCTGGGGTTATCATCGAGCGGTCCCCCACGCTCCGGATGCAGGTGGGGCCGCAGGGGGCCTTTGCCTTGCGGGCCTCCCCCACCCTACAAGGACGCCTCCGGGCAGCTTGCGGAGACTACAACGGCTTCTCGGCCGACGACCTCAGACTCCCAGGGGGACTCCAGGGTACCAGCCTAGTCGACGTGTTCCAGGCCTGCCGGACTCAGGGCTTCAACAGCTGGTGAGGACCCTCCCTCGCCGCCGCGGGGCGAACCCCTGGGCCGAGGGCGCGGCGCCAACTCCCCGCACCAGGGGCATCCTCTGAGGGGCTTGTCTCCCCACAGCACGGAGAAACTTGTCCCGCCGGCCATGACCTAACACCACCGCGTGACCCTCTGCGTGTCCCCACAACTGGGGTCCCGACGCACCTCTGCGCTGGCGGTGGGGACGCACGGAGCTTCCCGAAAGTGTTAATAAAGAGCGGATGACACAAACGTGCCGGCGCCTGTCTTCTCTCTCCCAGTTCCCCGTCCTGCGAGACAGTCCAACCTCCCTCACGACTCAAAAGTTGCGTCAGAAGCCACTGTCCCTTCCGACCCTACAGTCCGAGCGTCCAGTCTCCGGATCCCCAGCGCGGCTGTCCTGTCAAGGACAGATTGTCAGTGGGAGGGGCGAGCGGACAATAAGCCCCGCCCCCTACCCGCAATGCAGTGACGTAACCTCTGCGACAGCCAATGGGGCGCGCCAGCGCCGGGTGGCGGCGATGGGAGGCGGAGGCTGGGGAGCGCGCGGGCCGGAAGTGCCGGTGGCCTCCCTCGCCGGCTCTTCCAGCGGCGCTGCCCCGAGGGGTGGGCGTTCGGGGCGGGCGCCGCGGCCCAGCTGCAATCATGAGCCGGCCCAGCCGGCTGCAGAGGCAAGTTCTGAGCTTGTACCGCGAGCTGCTCCGCGCGGGCCGCGGGAAGCCGGGCGCCGAGGCGCGGGTGCGGGCCGAGTTCCGGCAGAACGCCAGCCTGCCGCGCTCCGACGTGCTGCGCATAGAGTACCTGTACCGCCGCGGGCGCCGCCAGCTCCAGCTGCTGCGCTCCGGACACGCCACTGCCTTGGGCGCCTTCGTGCGCGCGCGGGACCCGACGGAGGACCCCAGCGGCGCGGGGACCCCGCCTGACGATGATGAGGGTCGGAGGAGCGCCCTGGATGGCTCGGGGGCCCCGGAAACCCCGTCCAGTAGAAGATGACTGATGGAAGAGCACGTCCGAGACGCGGGGGAGCGGGGGCCTGCAGGTTGTGTGAGGGCGCCAGGGATGGACGGTGAGAGGTCTTGAGAAAGCAGCTCGACGGACTGGGGGGATCGGAGAGCCCTCTGGCGACTTAGGGGACACCCTTGGTGGATGGCGAGACACCCGACCTTACCTAGTGTGTGGTAACTGGTGGGCTTCCCCATGGGCTGGATGCTGGGTCTCTCGTGGGCTGGAATGTGCCAAGCTGAGAGCTGCTTACCCCGAGGTATGGGGAACACTGAAGCTCCTCCTCCTCGTGAGAAAAAAAGACTGGGACACCCTTCTCAGGATTGCGGAGAACATACCCACCCACCCCGCTCCTTGAGACTCCCTTCCAGTATTTAGTTCTGAGGAGTTTGATCCACCTTTTGCTGATGGGCTGTGAGAGACCCGGAATTCTCTTTGAAAATTCTTCCCCCATTCATTGTGGCAAATTTGGGCCAGTGAGGAAGGGACTGAGATCTCTCAGCCCAGCTGGCTAACTAGAGACCCTTTAAGACCTCTACTTGATGGTTCCGTGGGGGTTGGGGGCTCTGACTCCTGTGCTTTTCCCCCTCAAAACCACTAAACAAAGGGAATAAAACTGGGGATATGCTGTCTTCCCTGTTGGTGATCTCAAAGGTTTTATGTGCTTGGAGGTTTTGAAGATGCCTCCCTGGCTCCTACCTCCCCCTACCCCACCCCGCACGCATGCCCTGAGTGGACCCCCTGGGAGGGTTTGGGTGTAAGGATGTCTTCCCCTCTGGAAACTTCTAGGCAGGCAGAGTGGTCGAAGCTGCAGTTCTCTCCTAGGAGCCTCCATGGAGGGAACCCACCTAGCCTCACCTTAAAGAAAGCCCCCTGTTGACTCCTTACAAGACGGTCAGGTCATGGGCAGGAGAGGAATGGTGAAGTGATGTTCTCGGTGGCACCTCAGGGGCCTGGAGTGGCAGCCAGCTCAGTTCCAGCCTCACTTCCCCACTCCTGTCACTCTGCCTAGGCTCACCTCCCGAGCTTGGAGCTGTCTCAGGGTCTGGGGACACCCCGCCCAAGATGGGCTGACCAGTTCTGTGTTCTGTGCTCCAGGCTGACAGGAGGGATCTGTCAAATACATCAAGGCCACCCTCATTTCTGAGGGCTCTGGCACCGGGGTGCCCACAACCCTGCCAGAGACGTTAGTGTTCCCTCAAAATCAAACATTGAAATCCTAACTCAATGTGATGGGATTAGAAAGTGGGCCTTCAGGAGGGGGAGGGATGGAAGGGATTAGTGCCCCTATAAAAACCCCAATAAAAAACTCCCCGCCCCTTCTGCCCTGTGGGGACACAGCCAGAAGACAGCTGATTACACAGCAGGAGGCAGGCTCGCATAGGACAGGAGCTCCAGGACTTTCAGTCTCCAAGACTGAGCTTGTTGCAGAGTTGCCAAATGGACTAAAACACATCCTTTGACAGTGACCATTTATTATGTCGGGGCTATGTACTCAGGTTGGGGGGGGACCATTGACGTAGCTGAGCACCAGGTACGGTGTCCTGGCCAGCTGGATAGGAAAGCAGCAGAGGTCCCCTGATGTGGGCAGCAGCAACGTGGCACCCACCAGAAAGAAGAGGAGGAGGATGAGGAAGAAGGCCCGGGGTTGCCTGGGTGCAGGAGCAGCGGTTCTGTGAAGGGAAGTGCAGCGTTAAATCCAAGGTGGACTGGGCTCCCCGGTGGCCTAGACGCTAGTCTCGCTGCTATCACCACTGCGGCCTGAGTTCGATCCCGGGCCAGGGAGCTGACCCCCATGGCACAGCAGACCCTCCTGACCCACCCACTGCTCCCCTCAGCAGTGGATTTCAGTCCATCGGCCTGGTCTGCTCCCCGCTCTGTCTCTGGTGAATCCTTTCAAGCCATCCCTCCTGGCACCACGCCTCTGACCTATACCTCAGGTCTTATATGCAAAATAATAAAACATACATATGGTGGGCTGTCCTCACCCCACACCCCCAGGCCCTTCTCCCATGTGGCTCACCCAGGGTCTACCTCCAGCATCCCATCCTGGAGACGGGGAGAACTGTGCCTCTTCTTGGCCTAGGGGCAGATAGCAGCCCACAGCAGAATGAAGGAGTGACGCTTGGTTGGACTGTCCCTTCCCTCTGCAGACCTACGTGTGTAGGCTTATTGCTCCCTTTCCCTTGGTCCCCAGACCCTGCAGAGACTTAGAATATCACCAAGGACAGTACATGTCTCCGTGTCTGCACTCTGTCCAATCCCCCTTTCCCGGGAAACACTGGCCAGATTTGGGCTGGGGTGGCTGTCACGTTTCTCACTCTCCAGCCTTCAGGTCATGTGCGGCCGACCCCACATTTTCACATCCGGGCTTGGGCATGTGACCCAGATCGGGCCCCTCAGAGCGCTCCAACAGCTTGACCGCTGTGGCCAGTTCAGGGTGTAGGCCGCAACCCAAGCTGGAAGGTAGACAGCCTGGGAACTAGCTGCTGCCAGTAGGTGAGAGGTACTTTCGTTCCCGGGGAGGGGCAAAGCCAGTGGGACATGAGTGGAAGGTTGCTGGGGCAGCTGTTGTGCTAAGTAGGAAACCTACTGCGGGGGGGCGGGGGTGCTGAGGAGGGGAAGGGACCTGACAGCATCTGAGACTCTGAATTCAGCAGCATGTGGACTTTGTAGTTCCATGAAAACACAGCGTCCCCCTTTTTGCGCCATTGGGATTGGGTTTCTGTCACTTGCCACCAGAATTCCCAAGTGATACACCTAGCTGAGAGCCAGCTCACCTGAGACTTTCGGACCAGGGAGTGCCGACCTGCTAAGTGCTTCTGATGGCTAAGGCCTGACACGAATGTGTCCTGTGGGGAGAGAGAGGTTCAGGGTCCTTGGAGATTCAGTGACAAAGAGGCACCAGGATAGGGAGGGGCAGAGGTGGGTTGTCATAGAGATGAGATTCTGGGGGAAGAAAGATCTCTGGGAGAGCCGACGAGAGAGACAGAGCCAAGGAAGCCAGGAGAGGAGAGACATTATTCATTCATTATACAACAAATATTTCATGAGAGTCTGTTACACGCTCTAGTGGCTGAGGATGGAGACAAGCAAAGTCTGCCACCCACGGAGCTGACAGAGAATAAGACCAGGAAGGAACAAATAAGTGTATAATGGCAAGATGGAGTGAGGTTAGGCAATAAAGAAGGGTGATGAGGGCCCTCCCTGGTGGCGCAGCGGGTTAAAGCACAGCACTAAGAAGCTAAAGCCACTTCAGCATGAGTTCGATTCCCGCCTGCCCCAGAGGTGACCACATGGCGCAGCAGACCTCTCCTGACCCACCCGCTACTCCCCTCAGCAGTGCACTTTGTCGATCTGCCTGTTCTGCTCCCCACTCTGTCTCTGGTGAAGCCTCTTCACCGCCCCTGAGCCTCTGGCCTGTACCCCAGTTCTGTATGCACAAATAAATAGATCTTTTTAAAAAAAAAAAAAGGGTGACGAGTGACAATGTCTGGAGGCGAGCACTGGCCTTTCTGAAGAAAGGACACGTGAGGACGGACCAAGTGTGTATCTGGGGGCCTTGAGATAGAAGCGAATTTGGGGTGTTACAGAGGCAAAGCCAGGAAGCTAGTGTGGCAGAAGCAGGCTGAGTAAGGTGGGGAGAGTGAGAAGAAATGCAAATTCAGACAGAGGAGAGGGGAACACAGTGAGCTAGAGGAAGACGCAGAGACCAAAGAGAAATGGGCGGAGGGAGGAAGACAGAGACACAGAGGGAAAGAGACACCGAGAGACAGAGGGGGGAGACAGCCACCAAGAAGCCCTTGAAAGGAAAGCGCCCTGCTTGACAGGCGCGCAGAAGCATCCATAGGTGCCTGGGCAAGGGGGTCCCCATCTGTTCTCACCTCAAGGCCTTGGTCACACTGCTCATAGGGAGCCCCTGTGGTCCAGACTGTCTTTCGCACTGTGGGCCCGAGGCCCCCAACGTCCCCCGCAGGGTCCCATTCCAGCTCTGCAGGAATGGGGTGACTACTGGGTGCCCAGGCTCCCCAGGCCCCGCCAGGTCCTGGCCCATCCGAGTCCTCCTCAGCCTCCAAGTCCTGGTCCAGTGTGCAGGCCTCCTCGAAGACCTGGTCAGAGGACAGAGGTCACGGGGTCGGGATGGGCTCCGGGGCCAGGGGCCACCAGGGTGGGCCCTACCAGGTTATAGCTGACAAGCTGGGCTTGCAGTCGCCACAGCTGCCAGAAGATCCTGTCTCAGTGGGTACCAAGGGCCCTCAGGACCTGCTCCAGTGATGCCCGGGCTTGGGGCTCAGTCTGCTGTGCCAGCCCCTCACCAAACGCCAGCAGTGCATCTGTGCACTCAGCTGCCCCCTGCAGGTCTGCCCGTAGGGCCTGTGGACACATGAGTGGACATCATTCTCACACACACAGACACATACACAGACGCACGCATGCACGCACGCACGCACGCCGGAAGTGAAGCCCTCCCCCATCTTTCCCAGATAGAGTAAACTAACTTCCCACACCAGGAAGCCAGCGCCCGCTCTTCCACACACACACCCCCCTACACACACAGCTTGCTTCCCACTGTCCACCTGCAGCTGGGCCATCCTGATCTGGGCAGGTGCCCAGGGCCTCAGGCCGTGCTCTAGGTCCTGTAGCCAGAGGCCCAGTCTCAAAAGGCAGAGGTGCAGGCTGTCCTGCTCAGCCTCCAGTACCTCCCTGCCAGAGATGGGGTGCTGGGGAAAACAGGGGCCTAAGTCAGGTCCAGTGGGTGAACCACCCCTTTCCCATGCCACCCCTCTCCTGCAGGGGCCTGTCTTCTGGACACTTCTCTGCAGCTCCCACCTGGAGTCCTTCCCAGGGGAACCCATCTAGGGACCCTCTAGTTCAGTTTCCAGGCTTCCAAAGCGCCTAGAAACTTGGACATGTGGGGTCTGGGGGCCTGGACAGGGAGCAGAGGGTGGAGTTGTACCAGGGTCATGAGGAGATGATTCTCCTTTGCTTGGTAAAATGCTGAAATATCTCTGTAATGATCGGTGATGGATTTTTTAGTGTGCTTGCCCCCAGTCAGATGCCCAACAGTGTTCCAGAAGCATCACCTCATCCCCACCAGTGTGGAGGCCAGATTCTGAAGGACAGCGAGGAGGGGCTGGGACCAGGGGCCTGGGTCCCCACAGCTTACCTCCCCACATTGGCCCCCAGCTGGTTCCTCGTTGGAGGAGGGTGTCGGCAACCTGGGGGGACCAGCCACAGGCTCAGTGTCCCTCAGCCTAGGCCGGAGGTGCTCCAGAGGGCCCAAGGAGTCTGGCCCCAGTTGCTGGGCCTGTTCCTGAGTCTGTTGTGGCCTGGAAGGTATGGGGGATGGGCAGGAGGGTGTCGCCCTTCACTTTACCTGACCCCACAGCCCCCCAATGATCCTAGCCACAGTACCCTCAGAGGACTCCCAGTGGTCCCCCACCCTTAAGAGACCCAAATTTCAAAAGGCCCAGTCCCTACCTGCTTCTTTCCTCTCCAGACGCGGGACAGATGGTGCACCCTGCAAAGTCCAGTTCCCTCGGGGCTCCAGGGGGGTGGTTGAGGGTCTCTGATCTAGGGTCCCACGGAGGAGACAGGGCCATATCTAGGGGTCGGGGATCCATGAGAATCCCCAGGAAAAGCCCCTTTTCTATCCAGGAAATCCCTGATTCAACCAGGCCCCACGGCCAAAACCCAGGGCAGACTCAGCCCCACCTCTGTCCTAGTGAAATCTGACCCAGGTAATCTGATGCCTTGTTCAGGTGACTTCCGCACCCTTTTAACTCCTTCCTCCCTGGAGGACCTGTAGCTGAACCTCCCAAACTCGGCCCACCCCACTGAAAGGGGTGAGGGTGCCCTAGATCTAATCCCACCCCTCCCAGGAAACCTGAATTCTGCCCCATCCAGTGACCCAGGTCCCACTGATCTGACCCCCAGCACCCAGGATCCAAGGAGCCTCAGTAACCCAAGCATCTGCCCTCCCACCCCAAGACTCCAAGACCAAGAAAGACTTTTGTTGTTTTATTGGGAATGGGGCCTTTCATTGGGCTTCTCACAGTTCCTGGGAAAATAAATAATGCAGGGGAGCCGCCTCTGTCCCAGGATTCCGAGGTTCCAGGGTCACAGTTAGAGGACAGCCCAGGAGCCCCAGTGGATCCTGGGGCCTGGCGTCACTTGCTGAGCAGGAGGCCAGCACGCAGCACTCGGGGTACGCGGCGGATGGTCAGAGAGACGCGGGTGCCTCGCACCAGGCGGGCTCCAGGCTGGGCTGATGGGCAGGCAGCTGCATTGGGGGGCAGAGAGGTGGCATCTAGCTCGTCTACACTAGCGGCGGCGATGCCGTGGAGGAGGCTGGTGTAGGCGCTGCCACGGAGCACCAGGAGGCTGCGAGGTTCCAGCAGCAGCGAGGTGGCTGGCCTGGGTGGGAGCCGAGGCTGCAGGGGGTGGATGGTCAGAAGGCCCCCAGCAGCTGGGGTGGAGATAGAGGAGAGGTCTGCAGGTTTTGGGGGTCCAGGGGCAAGGGGCAAATGCTGAGGGTGAAGCACGGTCTCAGGGACGGAGGCTTTGGAACAAAAACCCCATGGGTCCCACCCAGGTCCAGGACTGAGGGAAGGGGTGGGGTACGGGGTGGAGTTAACAGTCCCTGCGGCGGGACCGGAACTAGCTGCAGATGGGGCAGTCAAGGGGACCAAGGGGCTGGGGCTGGCACCCCAGGAAGAGCAGTTAGTTCCAGGTAGCTGGGCAGAGCAGGCTGAGGGCTCAGCTGAAGCCGTAAGACTGGGGGACAGCAGAGGCAGATAAGCAGATAGCCACGTCCCTGCAGACGTCAGGATGTTTGTGGACACTGCACAGTAGTGGGAGGTGGGGGGGTGGGGGCAGCCTATCTGGGGGCCTGCAGGACTAAAAAGGGGAGCCCTAAGGAGCAGTCAGGGTCAAGTTGTCTAGGGCCATTTTGTGAACAATGGGGTGATTCTGACACTCAATGTATCACCCAGAGAGAGGGGTTGGGGAGGTTGTTAGGAGCAACCCTCGGGGGGAGAAGTCAAGTGGCCCTGGACAGCCTGTTATATGTTGGGGTACAAAGGAGAACCTGGGGGTGTCCTGAATGGCAGGTGTCCTGAGTCATGATCGCATTATTGGAGTGACAGGTGGTCAGCACTGGGTGCCCTGTGCAGTGGGCAGAGAAAACCAGGGTACTGGAAAGACGTCAGGGACACCCACCAGTAAGTAACACTGAAGTATCAGAGGATACAGGTGTCTGCTGGAGGACTGGGGATTCCAGCCTGGGGTCTATGGACCTTGGGATGTTGAGCACTCTGAACATGGGGTACCCGGTGAGGGTACTGGGGTATCTATGGACTTATAGGTTCTAGTGTGTCTTGCGAGTAGACAGGGGTGTCTGGGAAGATATGGGTACACTCCATGAGGGAACAGAAGGCATCTGGGTAGCTGCAGGCAGATGGGATTGGGGTTCTCTTGGAGGATGAGGGGTATCAGTGTGTCCCCAGTGGCACGGGGCCCACCTGTTCTGTAGGGTCATCATCTGTCGGCTGCCGCGGCTTGTAGAAATCCAGCACCGTATGCGAGCCTAGGCTGATGGTGCTGACGGTCGGGTAGTATAGTGGTCCGTCCTCGTGGGGCTGCGGAATGGGCACCAGAGCTGCACAGGGCAGAGCCCCGCCCACACCCCCCAGCCCCTGGGGTGAAAGGGGGCCTCCCCAGCTGGGGACAGGGAGGTGAAGGCCCAGTTGGCATATGTAGCTGCTTAATGAGAGAGGAGGTGGGTCAAAATGACGCCTGGCCCATGGTGGATCAGAGGTCAGGGGTTGGGGCGAGGTGAGTGGTTACCATGATGCCCTCCCCAGGCAGATACTGGTTCACAAGGACGTGGTTGGCTGGGAGACCCCCAAAAAGGCTGAGGTCAGACACTTTGTCCACGTAGCGCTGGAGCCACAGGGGCAGCCGCTCAGGAACCATCCCCCGGGGATGGGGAAGCCCACCTGGGGAGGGCAATGGGGTCCTGAAGGCACCTGGCCAAGGAGCCCTGGCAGGTAGGGTCCCCAGAAGGGACAGCCCATGGGTTGGTAGTGCTCTGATCCCTCGGGAATCCCTTATCCTTCTGAGCACCACCACTCAACCCTCCAAAAGTTTCCTGGCTTCTCCAAATCCCTGGATCTTTCAAGATACCCACAAATCATGGGGATAGCCACAACTCCTCAGGACCTCCACTCACCCTTCAGAATCTTCCTGGCCCTCAGAACCCCTTCAATCCTCAAAAGCCCTCCAATACCCTGAGACTATCATCCAACCTGTCACCTGTCCCGGCCCATACCCCCAAATCACCCATGTCCCCAGCCAGGACACTTACCCCAGTTCTGTAACTTCCTCCCAGAAAGCTGGGTCCACTTTGGCTTCGGGGCATTGAACACCTGAGAAGTAGGGAGGGGTCACTCCTTTTTCAGGACCACCCTCTCTGATCTTCTCACCCAGGTCAGTTCAGGGGTCTTTCCTTGGGGTGAAAATGGGTCGTAACAGTCTATGGGATTCTCTTGGATAGTGTATCCCTAGGATTTTAGCTTTTGTCCTGCTCTCGGTAGCGGGCCCCAAAGCCTGCCTGTGTCTAAGAGGAACAAGGAAAGGACCCAGGACTACACAACTGTGGTCTGAAACTAAGAGCTCAAGCTTGGGCTGATTCTTTCTGCCAGCAAACAGCCTGTCATTTTTTGATTCCTGAACTGAAAGCCTGGAGAAGGAGGTGTGCTAAACTGAACTCTCTCTACCTAAGGAAGACACTACTTTGAAATTTCTCCACTGCCAAGATCTGAAGGGTCTAGAGTGGGAAATATCCAAGAAGTCCAGAATATATCCAATTCAATAAATCTCACTGCTTTGAAGTTATGGGCTGGACTCAGCTATTCCAGAATCCCAAGAACCAAAGGGGCTGGAATGGACTTTCTTTTTTTTAAAGATTCATTTATGCATACAGAACTGGGGTACAGGCCAGAGGTGCAGAGGCAATGAGAGGCTTCACCAGAGACAGAGTGGGGAGCAGAACAGGCAGATCAAGGAAGTACACTGCTGAGGGGAGCAGCGGGCAGAGGTTTGCCGTGCCCCGGGGCGGAGACAGAACTCGCACTGAAGTGGCTGCAGCCAGCTTACAGTGCTGCATCCTAACCCACTGCACCACCAGGGAGGCCCTGGAATGGGTTATCTTAACACAGAGTGTGTATTGGATGGCTCACTTATCCTTGAGATTCAAACTAGACTGGACTAGCAGGATACACTAGAAAAATGTGTGCCCTGAAACCAAGTCTCTGGAGCTGCGAGGACTAGCCCAGCCCAGGGGTAAATTCTTCTTGTGTAAATTCTTCTTTTGTAAATTCTTCTTTCCCCCAATTTTTACCCCAGCTCAGGAGTAAACTCTTCTTCTTCCCCCCAAATTTATGAATAAGACGCAGACTGGGCTGTCTCAGCACAGGGCTGCACTTGCTAACCTTGACCCCAGGACTCTGGGGACCCAGGCTGGGATAGCCCCACACAAGAAGAGGCTACTCCAAGACTCAGATGCCGCGCTCTCTCAGCACAGAAATCTGAACACAGAATTCTTCACTCCCCAGATCGCAAGGGCTTGACCTGGGCTCTTCTCAGCCTATGCTTCTAGCTTCCTTTCCTTAAGATAGTAGGACTGGTGGGCCCTCCCTGGTAGCTCAGTGGGCTACAGCACAGCACTATGAATTGATCCGCAGCCATTGCAGCAAGAGTGATTCCCAGCCAGGAGGCCCACATGGTACAACAGACCTCTCCTGTCTCCTCGCTGCTCCCCTCAGCAGTGGATTCCACTAGATCTGCCTGTTCTGCTCCCCACACTGTCTCTCGTAAATCCTCTCACCCTTCAGGCCTCTGTCCCATACCCCAGTTCTTGTATGCACAAATAAATAAATAAGGACTGGGCCTTCAGCACAGGGATCCTCAGCTCCGTGGCAACTCACTCCCATCTAAGAATCAGTTTGTTTTCCCCTAAGTCTCCTAGAAAATGCTCTTTCTGATAGGTCCAGCAGGAGAGGATGAGATGGTGAAGCATGGCACTCTCCTTTCTGCCAGCCTTGGGGGCTCTCACACAGGAGCTGGGGTATAGGGGAGGATCTGGAAAGAGAAGGAAAACAGGCCCGAAGGTACTGAGGTCACCTGTCGAAGTAAATACTCCTCCTCTTCTTTGGAGATGAAGTCAGGGACATAGTAGATTACAGGTGGTGCCTACAAGAGAGAGACCCCCCTGAAGATGTTGCCCTTTGACCTACACAGGAGCCCTAGCATTACTGAGCAGCCCCCCTCTGTGGGAGTGAGGCTCAGGATGTCCCCAAAGGGGCTAGGACCTGATTGAGGGACCAAGGACCATTTTGGAGGTGGGGATGAGAGGGCTGGATCCTGAGGGAAGGATAAATTTAGAGGGAGTGGTTAGTCCCCACCCACAGGCTACTCCCCGCTCTCTAGTCTCCACCTTCACCCTCAGCACACCCCACCCTGACAACCTGCTCCACCAGGTATGGTTCCAGGGCCGGGACCCTGGCATGCTGATCCTCCATCGACATTTCCATCCACCCAGTCCTGTGGGAAGGGGAGACACATGGAAGTCACCAGGCTTTCCACCCTTAACTCTCCCCCAGCTTTTGGCTATCATGGGCCTGGGCGCCACAGCACCCCTCTAGTAAAATTCGCTTGATTTCTACAACCTGAGACTCAGCATCTCAAAAACCACCCAGTGAGCCTGCCGGGTCACAAGGAGTACCCAAGAACACACCCCGAAACTCACGCAACAAGGGCCTAACTTCATTTCTGTGTCCTCTAAATTCCCTCGTGGAGACCATCCTGTACCCAGGAGGGGCCTCTCTCAAGAGCTCGAGTACCCTGAGCCTACACCCAGACCCCTCTTAAACACCTTAGTTTGAGACCTCATCCTAACTACTTCAGGCTGGCTACCAGGCGTCGGGATGTCCAACATCCAGGGTCCGCGTGGCTCCCTCCCGACCCGGCCGTCAGATGCCCCATCTGAGCATCCTCAGCGTCCACTTTCGCGTCCACTTTCAGCCTCATCGGAACGTCCCCGCCTCTGGACCCTCCCGCGCTGCCGTTCACTGCAGGACCCCTAGATCTTTCGCCAGTCTTAAGTTTTCTCGAATCATTCCTTCCCAAGCCCCTCAGATGCCGTCCCCCTCTGACGCTTCTAGAATCCCAACCTGAGCTTTCCAGAACTCCCATTCTCAGCCCTCTCGGACCTCCAACCCCACCCTCCGCAACCCCCAAAACTGACCGTCCAGCAGAGTCCCCAAATTTAACACCCCCATTCCCTTCCCAGCCACTTCCGCCTCACATTCCTGACGTAAAAAGAATCCGACCAATGGGAACTCTCAGAGGCCTCATGGGCCCGCCTTCCACCCAATCGGCGCCCTCTCCCAGTGTTCCCCCGCCCCTTCGCCCTCGTCCGCTGATAGGCTGCACCTCCTAGTCTCGGAGCCCCTAATGGCCCTTCAGAGAGGGGCTTCGTCTGGCAGGGACCAATCAGAGCTCCAGAAACGAGCCATCCACACCGCCCCTGGGGCCCGGGAGGAAAAACGCGAGATGTCAGGACTCCCCCAGACTTTGCCATTCTGTGCCCAGATGGAAGGGAGGATTCCCTCCCAGCCTCCCCCATCCCGGGTACAGAAACCGGGCGCTAACTCCCAGACACGGACCCGACACAGAGAAGCCATAGAAACATCTTTATTGACGGGGGCAGGGGTCATGCTGAGGGGACATGCAGTGAAGGGGCAGTCGTGAGCTGTCCTTGGTGGTGAAGGCCCCAGGTCCGCCCTGGACCTCCCTGGGTCTTCAGGGTCTCCCTCAGGCTGTTGGCCTGGCCCTGGTGCCTGTGAGGTCCTTTGGGGCCAGTTACTCAGATTGGGTGTTTTGAACCTGTGACCAGAAGGTAGATTGAAGTGAGGGCTCCAGGATTAGGGATCCCCTCAAGGCCTTGAGGCCCTTCATGTAGTAAAGATGGAGGCTGTAGGATTTGGGGGTTCCCTTGGGGCTGGGGCTTTGGGATTTTAATGTCTTGAGATCCATGGACTTGATATCGAAGTCCTCCGGGGTTCCAGGGTTGAGAATTCCAGTTTGAGGTCTCCGGGTGGCTATGAAGAGCACTGGAGGTACCTTGGTTGCCTGGGATGCACATCCTGGTTGCAGTCTCCTCCATCCCGGGCACAAGGACCTCCAGAATTGGGGTTTCCTGGGGGGTTTGGGATTGGATTTTTAAATTTAGGATTCCCTGGGGATTTCCCCAAAAATCCATGATTTGGGGGTCCTGGGAGTTAGGGCCTTGGGATTTTCTAGGGGTTATGGAACTAGGGTGCATAAGGGAGTTTGGTTATTTACTCTAGGGCTTAGGATCCCCAGGATGTCATAATGGGGTCTCCAAATTTGGGGTCCCCCAAGGGGGAAGTCATTACTTAAAAAATAGAGAATTTTCTGGGAGCCTGGCCAGCACAGGGGCTTTGGGCCATGTGGGGAGGGCTTCATACAAGGCACTGGGGGTTTCTTGAGGGTGCAGAGGACAGGAAGACTTGGGGGTCCTGTAATTAGCACTTCCAGGACTGTTTTGGTGTCTATAAATTAGGGGTGACAGTAGGGCCGGTTAATGTGGGTCTCTTCTTGAAGAGTAAGAACAGGGGTTTTGTTAATGGCGGGGAAATTGAGCTGACCACTAGGGTCACAGCATCTTGAGGGAACTGATGTTAAATGTGGGATGAAGGCCTGTGACTCTATTGCTCTGGAGGTATGACCTGTGTTTATTTCACAGGGACTTGATGGGAGGGGGTGTCTTTGCTAGTGGGGGTTCTGATCCAGTGATGAGTGACCTGGGAATATTCTGGTATGGAGCATTATGTGGAGGTCACCATCATTTGGGGTGATGTAGAAATCTGTTAATTAGAGGGTCTACTCTGAGGGACTGGGAACAGGGACTAGCCTGAAGGTGCTACACTCAGGAAATCTCTTTCTGGATAACATGGGTTCTGTATTTGGGGGGTTATCATGTTAATAATGGGGCCTCAGTGATTGAGGGCTGGCTAGTGGGGTCTCTATTCTGGATGTGTTACTGGGGATCTCTTATCTCAGGGTGACATGGGGGCTCCTTATGTCAGGAGACACGAGAGGGGGTGCTGTGTCTTTGCTATATGTCCAGGGCCTCTAAGACTGCATCTCCGCCCTCAGCATCCAAGGAAACCAGCAGCAGAAGAGCAACCTGAGGAGAACCACATTACACTGATGCAGGCAGCAGAAACAGCTGGATCCACCCCCTCGTGCCCCAGTTCCTTCCCAGAGTGGTTGGGATTTAACCTTTCTGGATTCTGCCTCCATCTCTTGGCTGTGCATTCTCAGGCTGCTGTGGCAAGGACAGGTATTGTTTCCTCTACCTACCCCTTAGAAGTTGAAGTCACCAGAATTTAGTGTGGGCCCCCCCCACTACAGACTTTCTGGGTTAGCTGATAAATCACAAGTTTCCAGCCCTACTAGAACGCCAGATCTCTGTGCCCAGTGCCATGTGGAAGCCTCTGCCTGAATATCTCAGAGGTGCCAGGCCCGGGGTTGGCTACCCACCTGGAGATGGAGTTCTCTGATGCGATGTCCTTCGGGGTCCGGACTGTCGTGAAGGTGCGTTTGGGCTGCGTCACTGGAGAGGGGGGCAAGTCTCAGAAAAGAAGATGGCAGACCATCTGTGCCCTCAGTGCCACGTCCCAAATGCCCACCTGGAACTCACACTGAACACCCATCTGGAATGTGTGTTAATGATACACCCTGTGTCCCCCCAGTATTTACCCATGTGCCCAATGCCTACCCAGAGCCTTGTCATGATCATTCCCACCTACCCCGCAGCACCTGTCCCTGTGGGGTCCTGACTCACCACTGCCTGGACACTGTGTCCCCAGTGAAATACTGGAGATGCCTGAGAACCCGAGGCCCTTCCTCCTGTCCCCAAACCCACACTCCTCCCTCCCCACACCCCATCTCCCAACTCACTTGTCACTTGATGCACTTTTTTGGCTCCAATACTGTCCCCAGGGGGGTCGGTCGATCCACCAATTCTGGGGAGACAGGAGGAGTCAGAGCCATTGAGGCCAGGGTATGGCCAATAGGTAAGGCGCTGGGGGGGGCATACGGAAAGGACCCCGGGATGGGAGTGGGTACCCGCACTGTCCTGCTGACCCAAGAGGAGACATCTCAGGGGATCAGGCTTCTGGATGGTGCCCTGGCTTGGGGCAGGGCTCACCTCTGAATCCGGGAAGCTGGTGCAAAGACTCCATGCCGCGGGGGGCAGGTGAAGTACCGAACGCCAAAGACAGAGCCGTCGTGCTTGCCGGTAGGCTGGTCGAGCTCGATGCCGTACCAGTAACCTGCAGCAGGAAGGTGTCAGGACGCCTGGAGGTCCCCCCCGCCCCCGAACAGCTGCCCACACTCACCTGGAGCAAAGTCTGTCTTCCCGTAGAAGCGCACAACCCCTTGCTTCTGGCCCGCCACGAGCACCTGGTCTCCCACCTCAGCCTTGGCTCCCTCGCGCTGCTGCAGGCTGCCCAGAGACGGGGATGACGAGGGTTTCTTCTTGCCTGGAGGTGCAGAGCAGAGGGGGAAGAGTGGGGCCCAGGCACCATCTCTTTGGACCCCAGGTCTCCTAGAAAGCCCCAAGGTGGACTCTCGGGCACAGTGCCAACCAGAGGCTCTCCAGAGCCTGCCTCAGAACTGTGGGGCTGTGGGCTTGAAAGGAAACTGAACCCCAGCTACCGGAGAACTGCGGTGGGGGAGGGGAACCTGAAGAGCCCAAAATTCCTTTCTCAAAGCTGAGCATAGGGTCCTTTGGTGCACTGGGTATAGCGCAGCACTATGAAGCAGCTCAAGTTCAATCCCCGGCCAGGGAGTGACCCACAGGGCGCAGCAGACCTCTCCTGTCTCCCCGCTGCTCCCCTCAGCAGTGGATTTCAGTGGATCTGCCTATTCTGCTCCCCACGCTGTCTCTGGTGAATCCTCTCACGCCACACCTCTGGCGAATCCTCTCACGCCACACCACTGGCCTGTACCCCAGTTCTTGTATGCATAAATAAATGAATGTTTTAAACAATTTTTAAAAGCTGAGATACGGAAGTCAGGAGCCCAGAAACTGTTCTTTTAAAATGAAAGGGGGAGGTATCCAAGGACCTCCAGGGAGTCCACAGATTCGTCCCTAAAACTGAGGGGAATCTTTGGTCCTGAGGGAACACTAAGTCATAGAAGGCAGGGCACCCATATAGATCTTAGGAACCGAGCAGGGCCGGTGCTGAGACCAAGAAGAAATCAAGTCACGGTGTCAGGAACTGAGACCATCCCCTGAAACGGAGTTTGGGTCTGAGGAGAAACCAAGCCACAAGTGCTTGGCTCCCCAGAGTGGCCCCACCCCTGGCTCCCCTCATCCCTTGGGCTCCCCCTCTGACCTTTGTGTTCCCTGCGACCTTTGCCAGTGACACGGGAGAAGTCCATTCGGGGAGTCCGAGGCGTGGAGGTGACGGACGAGGGGGGAGCATCCATGGCCTTGGAGATCTTGGACACAGAGGCAAAGAGACCTGGGGGGACAGAGAGTGAGCTGGCAGTCATCCAGGCCTCTGCCCCCTGCCCCACCATCACCCTCAACTCCCAGAACCCAGTCAGCGGCATCAGAACACGAGTGACCCCACCGCCACCCTTCTGGGGCCCAGGTGGGACTAACCCTGCTTGGGGGGGCAGATGAAGTACCGGACACCCCCAACGCTGCCATCGTTCTTGCCCTCTGGTTCATCCAGCTCCACACCCACCCACTGGCCGCTGGCGAACTCCGTGGTCCCGCAGAACCGCAGTGTGCCTGTCTGAAGAGACAAGTGGGGATAAGGCTGGGGGGGTTGTGGTCTGGGGAGGCCATGACAGATCGCTGGCACACAGGCAGTCTGATGATGTGCAGGAGGGCACCCCAGGCTCAGACATCACCGTTAATGGCTGTAGGACTGAACCTCACTGTGCCTCTGTCCTCATCTGCAAAATGGGAACAAAAATAGCCCCCACTTTATAGGATTGCTAGAGAGGGGCCCTGTCCAGGGCAGGAAATAGCCACAAGTGACTATTTAGAATTAAGTTTAAAATTCATTTCCTCAGTTGCACTAATCGTATGATAGGTGTTCGTTGACTCCCCATAACGTGTGGCTATGAGGTGTACAGACGTTTCCATCACAGAGAAAGGGCTGTCAGAAAGGGTATTAGAAAGTCCCCAGAAAGGGGCCTGGTGCTGAGGAGGTGTAGGCTATTAATATCCTGTGAGTTTGCTTCAGGGAGCTGCTGGGGCTTAGTTTCATCTGTAAAAGAGGGGTAACAATCAACTTATAAGTCATTTGTCTGGTGGAGACATTTTTAATATACCTAAAGTTGCTTAGGGGCAGAGTCCCCAGGAGGATAATTAGGTTCAATGAGGCTGCTTCACTCTCTAAACCTCAGTTCTTTTTTTCTCTAAAAAGGGCTAATCAACAATGCCTACTCTGGATGATTGCTGTGGGGACTAGAACAGTGCCTGGCACACAGAGAACACTTAGTTGTTCTAAGGGTGTAATACATTTTAACTTAATTCAGGTCTCAAGCAGTCCCCAATGTGGGTTCTGTTATTAGTGCTATTTCACAGATGAAGAAATTGACAATTAATAACCAGAGAGTAGAATCATTGGCCTCAAGCCCCACAGCACACTGCCCAAACCACACTATGTGTGATGCCTCTTCTCTAAGTGAGCAGACGTTGCTATTTTCTTCAGACGAAAGGCTTCATCTGGGGCCTCCCTAGTGATGCAAGGAGTTAAAGCCTAGTGCTATGAAGCTACCCGCAGCCACTGCAGCATGAGTTCAATCCCCAGCCAGGGAGGTGACCCATATGGCACAGGAGACCTCTCCTGACTTGCCTGCTGCTCCCCTCAGCAGTGTACTTTGTCAATCTGCCTGCTCTGCTCCCCACTCTCTGGTGAGTCATCTCACCCCACCCCCACCCCGCACCTCTGGCCTATACCCCAGTTATTATATGCATAAATAACTAAATCTTGAAAAAGCAAAAAGACACTTTTACTTAAAAAAAAACAAAACAGTAACATCACAGGGTCTGTAGGAAACTTTCAGGCTGTTTGAGTACATCAGTTGCTTATTTCTAAATAAAAGTGATTTTTTTTTTTAAAGAAAAAACAACAAAGGGCTTCATCTCTCTGAGTTTGAGTTTCTTACAGTCTTTTGGGTTATAAAATGTGTGAGGGTCTCAACTCTCCTACTTTCCAGAATTGTCACATGGATTTAGTTATGTACAGAAAGCTTTCCAGATAGGTCTATCCTGATTAGGAAGTAAAACATGACCTTTATGATTTCTCACTCTATAATAAAGTCCAAAATGTTCCAGTGCCTTCTGGACTGCTGTGATTCAACCATCTGACCATTGCACCTCACCCAGCCTGGAGAATGTCCATCCAACCCCACTGTCCCTTCCCTCCTCTGGGCCTCTGCACCTGTGGTTTCCATAGTCTCCATATTTTTGGAGGGCAAGCTCTTCCCAACTTTGCTCAGATATCACCTCCTCCAAGAAGCCCTCCTGGAATATCTCAGCTAATACCACCTTTCTCCCCAGACAGCAACAACTTACTAATTTCAAGCATTTAATGATTTTCAAAATCCTTACTGCTCCCTGCCTCCCTCTCCATCACTAGGAATGCAACTTCAGAAAGAGCAGAGCTGGGGCTGACACAGCCCTTCATCAATATGGATGGTTCAAGGCCTATACGGACCAGAGGGACACCAGATCAATGAATCAAACTGGGACTGTCAACAAAATAACAGCAACATAAATGACAAAGGGAGAAAAAAGCCAGACTCCTGGGATGAAGAAAGATGCTACCCTCTGGCCTTTACACCTGCTCCACTTACCTGAGACCCCTTTTCCTTTTCTTCTCCTGGTTCATTCCTCCTTATCTTTCTTCCTCATTACAGCCCTGACTGCTCTGACCTGTGCCTGTCTAATCAAACCACTGACCACCCAGGGAGCAGAGCTGGGGTCTGAGTGGGGGGGGGGGAGTCACAAGGTCCAGGGGACCCTCAGGTGCAAAGGTAGGTGATCACTTTCCTTGTGCTTCTTTCCGCTGGCTGGGCTGTCACTGTCGGGCGGTGGAGCTGTCTCACCCAAGCCCCAAGACAGAGGGTTCAGCATAGGGGCACAGAGGAGCCGCTAGAGAGCAGCTACTAAGTGAGACAGACACTGTGTGGATGATTGTGAGGGCAGCCTGCATCCTGCCCACGATGCAGGGCTGAGGGCCGAGCCCTGCCCCGCCAGGCCCCGGGGCTCCTGACCTTCTGGCCGTCCAGCAGCACGCGGTCTCCCAGGCGTAGGCCCAGGGCGCTGAGCATGAGATTGCCTGGGACGTTGTCATAGTTGGGGAGCGTGACCTTGGGCAGGGCACAGGAGAGCGGCACGGCCTCCTCCAGCAGAGTTCGCAGTTCCTTGGCCACCAGGGCCGCCTCTGCCTTGTCCAGGGACATGTCCATGGGGTCTGGAACCACCTCCGCCGGCACCTGTCCCTTTCGGTTCTGGGAATCAACGGGAAGAGAGGGGATGAGGGCTCAGTGGCAGGGGCGGAGCCTCCCCCCCCAACAAAAGGCAAAACCCCAAAAGCCAACCCCGGGGGAAGCAAAGCAGGTCATACCCAGGTGAAGATGGGAAGGAGGACCGTGGCGCAATGAGGGGCAGACCGAGTTCCAAGGGAAATCTGCCCCTGAGAATTCAGCTGGGGGTGGCAGATAATTGTGGGCGGGGCTAATTGTGGGTGGGGCCAGCAGGGAATCCAGGTCACACTTCAGGGCTATCGTTTGTCCCTCTGTAAGGCGCTGCCCCACAGACCCCAAGACTGGCAGGGTCCATCTGAGGGGGTGGGCGTCTGTGGATACTAGGTCAGAGCTGGCCAACGTTGCACGAGGAGAGGCAGGGCCGTAGGGCACAGGCCCTGTTCCCCCAAGATATTTATGCCTGAGATGCTGCAGAATAAATGGATAGGGTCCAGATTCCAAATGGACAGATGCGGTGGTCAGAGGTCAGACAGAGAACTTAGGGGGCCAGGGGCAACCCTCTCTTTCACAGAGATCTCAGTTCTGCTTTGTGGTCCCAAAGTGTCAATATACAGCCATGGAGTTAGCCAGGATATTCCCTGCTGAGTGACTACGGACAAATCACCTATGCTCTCTGCTTCTCTGCTGGGTGCTGACATTACTCCACAGAGCAACACACAGCAGAGAATAACAGGGGTGGGGAGAACGGGGAATCCCCTGGGCACCCCCTTAGATGGCCACAGGTTGGCTCCTGCCCTTAACACGTTATTTTTTGGTGGACTGCATGAGATGGTTTTTCTAATACTTTTGGGGGTGGGGTGGGGTGTGGGGGGCCCCACACCCCGCCCAGGAGGCCTAGTGGTCAGCACAGGGGGCGAGGACAGGCAGGGGCGATCCATCGGGCTGGGTCAAGGCGGCAGTACCCGCAGCGCTGGATTGGCACCGTGCTCCAGCAAACATTTGGCGGCGCCCAGGCACAGGTTGGAAGCAGCGATATGCAAGGCTGAGCCGTGGTTGAAGTCACTGCACGTGGAGTTCACCACTGCGAGGTGGGAGAGAGGGGAACTCCGGATGAACGCTGCTGCGGGCACCCCGGCCTCCCCCACCTTCCAGCCCCGGGAAGGCCCTCCCGCCCCAATGCCAATCTCGGCGCCCCAATGCCAGTCTCTGCGCAGACGCAGAGCCCCGCCCCTCTTCCTAGGTCTGGGCCCTCCCGCCCAGCCACACCCCCTCCCCATCAGGTCCCGCCTGGCCCTGGGGTGATGGGTCCCACCCAGGCTCTCACGCGGTTCGGCCCCATCACCGTCACGCTGCCAAGGGTCTTGCCCCCTGAGCCCTCCTCTTGCTGGCAGCCCGCCGCCCTCCCAGCCCGGACCTCGCCCTCACCTCGCGGCCGGGCTCCCTTCAGCAGCACGCGGACGAGGTCCGGCACGTCGAAGTACGCAGCATAGTGGAGCGCGTTCATGTTAGTCCAGCGGCTGCGTAGGGTCACATCGGCGCCCAGGGCCAGCAGCTGCTGTGAGAGACGCACCGCCGCCGCGGGGTCCCCTGCACAACACCCCGGGTCAGCTGGGGTCCCCTCTCCGGGGCGTGGCCCAGGGCATGGAGACGGCGGTGGGCCTCAGGGCCTGAACTTTGGCATCTTAGGCTGTGGGTTCAGGATGGGGGATCGTAGGCTGGGGCTTGGGGTGGTTTGGGAGCATGTCAGATCTGGGTATGGGGGCTCACCGACTCCGTGCGCCCCAGCCTTGCACGCGTAATGAAGCAGCGTCATGTCGGTCAGCCCGTCACGATCGTTCACATGGCAGCCTCGACGCAGAATCTGGAAGCACCAGGGGTCCAGAGCCAGTCACCCAAAATACACAGGGCCCCCATCCTTCCCTTCCCTGCTTTCTCCAGTTCCTACCTCATTGCCAATCACATCGATCTTGTGCTGGACTTGGGGTACCCACTGGCGCACAATGGCAAAAAGCTCAGCGATGGTGGTCTGTGGGTCGAACAGGATCTCCTGGCACGCGGGATCGTTGGGGTCGAAGAAGGTGAAGGCTGGGGGTGGGGGTGGGCAAGAGGTCCCCGGTCACTCCAGGCAAGCTGAACCCTCTTCCCATCCTGAGACAGGGTGGGGTGGGGGTGGCAGCTCCAGCTCTTTACCTTTAAGACCCTCTAACTCTGAGTCACAAATTCATGGCGCACGGGCCACAGGCATTTTATATGTGGCTGGCATGAGATTTCAAAATAAACCTGGATGCCCAGTTTGTTCTGAAAAATGGAAGACAGACCAGGCATTTCCCACAAAGCACAGCCGTACCCTTTGAAACAATCTGGTAAGAAATGAGGCTGGCATCCCGCATGCCTAAAGGGGCAAGCTTACTTGCCCTGCACAAAATGGACCCAGTTTGGTGAAATCTCCACCAGAGCAAAAAAAAAAAAAATCAAAAGTCAGGAATCTCAGTTTTTAAGAAAAACTGCTTTCCAATACTGTGCAGCCCACCAAAAAAATATATCCAAAGGCAGGAGCCAACCTATGCCCAGCCAGGGGGTCTCCAGGGGAACGGTACCCCCACCCAGGGCTGGACTCTCCTGTATACTGCTGTCTCGACTGATCTCAGCGCCCAGCACAGGGCCTGGCACACGGCAGGAATCAGTGCATGTTGAATGAAAACAGCCAGGTTACCCTGAGCCCAGGAAGCTGGAGAGAAGGCATTCGGCTCACGTGTCCTTTCAAACCCAGTCACACCACAGCAGCCTCGGCTCAAAGACAGGCCTGGCTCCCAGCACACTCAAGAGGGCAGACAGTCTCCCACAGCCCACGAGGGTCCGCACACACTGGCCGCGTCTGTTCGCTGCCCTGTTTCTCTCCAGCCACGCTGGCAGCCTTCTGTCCTTCCAACATGCCGGGCAAATTCTTGTCTCAGGGGCTTTGAACTTGCCGCTTCCTTTGCTGGGGCAGTCTGTCCTCAGATCTACTGAAGGCCTGTGGGTCTTTGTTCAAATGTCACCTCTTCTGAGCGTGTCAGATGTAGGATTGGGGACTCACCAGCTCCTTGGGGTTGTGTCCTGCCGATCGGTCCGTCACCACACTTCACCCGACCTCCTTGTCCGTCACTGCCTACCTACTGTCTTATTTAATCACAGCACATCATGACTTAATCTGTTGACTCGTTCTTCACGCTTTTCCTTCTTTTTTTTCCATTTCTGCTTGTCCTCCAGAGAAGTACTGTTTCTGTTCACTGCCTTATCGCAAGGCATGCCACTGAACTCACGTACAAACGTAATCAATTTAAATAAACAAATACATGATTTTCTCTTGGAGTCCACTTTACTGCTCTCTGCCCCAGCGCACATTTCCAGATTCCATCTCGCTCTGTGACCAAATGCTCCTTGTTCGACAGGGCCCAGCCTCGATCCTCTGAATTCCCACTAGGCGACATTTGCAAAGAGGATTTTCTGCAGTCCTAGGGTGGACCCCGCCCCCGACACTCAGATAACTTTCTTATTTTTCTATCGACAGCAGTCAGTGGGAGCCTCTTGGGCCCGACACTGCCCCCCTCCTCCCTGTGCTGGCTAGGCCTCCTCCTGGAACCTGGTGCCTGGTTTCTGAGATTCCTTGCCAGTGTTTTCTAAAAGCTCCCTCTTAGAGGCAACTTTGGCTGCGCTCCACCTTCCCTACCCAGCAGCTAGAGGGAGCTTTTAAAAATATAAATCAGACCACCATCCTCTGCTCTTAAACACCCCCCAACCCCCAGCTCTCATGCCGTTTGGAACGTATCCAGAGGCCTCTGAAGCTCCCCCAGGGCTGGCCACTGCCCGCCTCTCCACCCAGCTCGGACTGCGACCTAACTGCAGCGCCATCATCCTTCTGTCCCCAGCCCAGTCCTGCCCCAGGGCCTCTGCACTTGCTGCTCTCTTTCTGGAACACTCGCCAGCCGGCCTCTGGCAGACTGCTCCTCTTGCCTTGGGTCTCAGTTTAAATACCCCCCTGGTGTATTAATCCCGCCCTGACTATTTGGTCTCTGGGTGCTGCCCCCTAGCCAGTCTCCGTTAAATCTCCATTTTTTTCTCGCAGCACTCCTATCAGCAAGTGGCAGATTTCGTTATGGAATCCCTCAGATAGTCACTCCTGCCAGAGAGAAGGCTCGTGCCTGGTTAGCTCGCCATTGCATTGCTATCACCCAGCACGCGGCTGGTCACAGGTAGTAGCAGTGGATAAACACGGCTTGGTGGATGATAAGACATTTTCAGTTTCCCCAAGAGGCCACCTCTCAGCTCCACACCCTGGCACCTTGGTGCCTGAAGCAATCGCTCCTGAGAACCTTTCCCCTGCCCCTTCCCCAGCTCAACCCCCAGCCCACCCTTGGGTCTTCTTCAAAGGTTCCCCAGGAAAACCATGTCTTAAAAAGCTCCGGCAGCTCACAGCAAACAATTCTCATCAAGTCTTTATACTTTACTGTTATTATTTGGTTGTTATTGAGATCTATGTGTTTTCTCAGGGCAAAGACCGGGTGTTTCTTGTTCTATGCTAGTTCCCCAACTCCTAGTATAGAGCTAGACCGTCAACAAAGGCTTGTAGAATGAATAAGTGATTGAATGATGTGTCATAAACCAAAGATTAGGATTATTCCCTTCCATTCTCCAATGAGTGAATGAATCAATGAATGAAGGAAGGGAGGGGGGACCCCAAGGACTGTGCCAAACCACTCAGGCCCACCTTCGAATCCCCCAGAGTTCTCCCACCATCTCTACTGAGAGCTCAACCCAACCTCCCTGGCCACCCGAGGCTCCAGCCAGATTCCAAGGTGGGTAGGGTGGTTACCGTAGTCTTTGGGAAGGGGGGCAGGTGCGGAGGGGTGCACAACAGGCTTCTGCCTGCGCTCCAGGGTGGGGCTGGGAGCCTCGGGCACAGGTTCCTCCTCCTCCTCCTCTTCCTCCTCCTCTCCTCGGAGTGGAGGGGCCATCGGGGCAGGATCTGTCTTAGTCATGGTCCTCGGTGGCCCTCGGGGAGGGCGGGTGCAGAGTTGGGGGCGACCTTCAGGCAAATCCTGGAAGCAGAGGTCAGCTACAGGCCCCCCGCCCCCCCCCCCCCGGCCCCCGCAATCCGAGCCCCTGAAAGCTCCCGGAGCTCGGTCTGGCTCCCACGCCCCTAGCTCTGGGTTTTGAGCAATCACAGGTGCGCCCGCCCGTTACCCATTCCAGCACCCTGGTATGTGGGCTCAGCGCCTACCATTTCCCTCAGGCCCAGCCCCCCATTCTTCTCGCGTCAGGCCCCTCAGTCTAGGCCGCCCCCTCCCCGGGTTTGTTTATCTCGGGATGCAGGATGCTTCGGCCCTCCCCTTCTCCACGGGCCTCCCCTCTTCCCATCTTACCTCGGGCAGACGGGGCTGGAGACCAAAGCTGAGACTGGGGAGACTGGAGTACTGGGGTGTCAGTGTCTGGGGAAGTAATGGGGGAGGAGAGGGAGACAGAGAAGGGGATGAGGCCCAGACGCCGATGGGGGATGGAGAGGGAGGAGGGGCCCTGATTGCGCATGCGCCTTGTTACCCCCAACTGGGCGCGGGTGGGGGGGGGGGAGGCGGTACCCGGAGGCTGCTGGCATTGAAGGAAAGGCTGGAGGCCGAGCGGGTAAGGGGATACCCAGGGAGGATGGAAAAGGAGGAAGCGATGCCCACGAAGAAAATGATGCGGGACACGGAGTCAGGAGTTGATGCAAAGGCAGGACAAAGGGAGAGGGATGGGGAAGGCATGCGGGTCTTTTTGTCCTTTCCCCCCCCACACACACACACGTGAAAGGAACTTCCTGTTGAACAGAGGTGTAGGTATGTAGGTATGTGGTGATGTTTTTTCTGCCCCTGAAACCTCAGACCTGCCCCCACCCCACGCTTGCCGTTTGGAAGGGTGTCTCCGAGGGAGGGATGAGTCGTAGAGACACCTTCATGGACACCATCGTGATCACTATTGAGTACTCAGATAGCACTCGTCAGTCCAGAGAGGTTAAGCTACTCGCCCAAGGGCACACAGCAAGTAAGTGATGGAGCTGAACTTGAACCCAGGCAGCTGGCTGCAGGTCTGGGTTTTCCGTCACTGTGGCTGTAGCAGGGTCTAGGGGACAAATCTGCTAATACCCCACCAACTCTCAGAACCTGTATCCCCCCAGTAAGGGTGGGGGCTTGGGAGCAACCCAGGGTCCAGGGCCTCCTGGCTGCATCACCCTGGCTTGGCTGTCGCAGCTTCTCCAAAATATTTCCAGGATCTCACCTGTCACCCCCATTCCTCATCCCAGTCTATTTTCACCTCTCCTACCTGGACAACATTTCATCTTGCCTGGTCTCCCTGGCCCTCCTCCATCCCACCCATCTGCACCCTATATGCAGCCATAGGGACCTACTGACATCTCTCACATTGGGCTTTCCCAGTTCAGGGGCATCTGCTCGCTGCATCTTAACTCCAGGTCAAAGCCAGTGTCTGCTACAGCCTACTGACCCAGTGTGTTCCGCCCTCTTACTATCTCCAACTTCTCATTAATTGCACTCCAACTAAATTGGCATCCTTGTTCCTCATTGCCCCAGGCTGTGCCTCCTAAATGTTCTTCTCCCAGATGCTTGGTTTCCTCATTCCTATATTATTATTTTTTTTAATTTATTTTCTATTTTACAGAACTGGGGTACAGGCCAGAGGTGTGGTGGGTGAGAGATAGAGTGGGGAGAACAGGCAGACAGACAAAGTACACTGCTGAGGGGAACAGTGGACAGGTCAGAAAAGGTCTGCTGTGCCATGTGGGTCAGCTCCCTGGCTGGGGATCGAACTTGTGCTGCAGTGACTTTAGAGAGCTTCATAAAGTGGTGCTTTAACCTGTTACATCACCAGGGAGAGCCCCTATTTTAAGATATATTTATGTATGCATACAAGAACTAAGTACAGGCCAGAGGTACAGGAGGTGCGAAGACTCACCAGAGACAGTGGGGAGCAGAACAGGCAGATGGACTGAAATTCACTGCTGAGGGGAGCAGCAGGCGAGACCTGAGAGGTCTGCTGCACCATGTGGGTTCAATCTCCCTGGCTGGAGATTGAACTCATGCTGCAGTGGCTATGGTGAGCTTCATAGTGCTGGGTTTTCACCCCCTGTACCACCAGGGAGTGCTCCTCCTTGCTCCTGTTTTAGACTTTAACTTATTGAAGCCTTCTCAGCAAGACCTCCTCTGCTCTATCGTCCTGTTATACAACTCAGTCCTTCCCTACTTTATTTTTTTTCCATAGCAACACTGTCACACTCCAGCCGATAGCCTAGATGTTGAGGCATTTGTAGGAGCTGTTTTAGCAGGCCACGTGCCTTCCAGGATGCCACTTCATCATCCAGGTCTCTGCCTAAACACTGTAGCACCAGGGAGGCCTCCACCCCCTGGCCACATTATTTTCAACCCATCTTTATAGCATTTATCACAATTTCAAATTATATTGTTTATTAGTTTACTGGCTCATCTTCTATTTTTTTTTAAAAGATTTTATTTATTTAAGCATACAGAACTAGGGTACTGGCCAGAGATGCAGGGGTGGCGAGAGGATTCACTAGAAACAGAGTGGGGAACAGAACAGGCAGGTCGACAAAGTACACTGCTGAGGGGAGCAGCAGGCGAGAGAAGAGAGGTCTGCTGCACCATGTGGTCACCTCCAGGGAGGCACTGAAGTGGCCACAGCCTGGCTTAGCTTTGCAGTGCAGCGCTCCAACACACTGCGCCACCAGGGAGGGCCCTGGTTCATCTTCTACTCCAGCAGAATGTGAGCACCACGAGGACAGGATTTTGTCAGATGTGTGCACTGCTGTATCCCCAGCTTGGCACCAGGCTTGGGAAAGGGTGTGAGGCTCTTCAGAACCAGATATAAGTCTTCCCACACAAACAACCCTTGTTCTGCTCTAAGACTGTTTTACAGACTACAAAGATTTGAGTTGGGGTGGTGAGGAGCAGTCACCCAGAGATGCTGGGGCTCCTGGGTGTCTAGGCTGATGGGCCGTAAGGTTCAGGGGCCCCCAGGAGGAGCGGTGGGAGCCAGGCTTTTGAGGGAGGCACTGCTATGCCACAGGCATGGGTGGTGGGGCTGGGCAAGCTGTCTCTTCCTTCACCTTCCGCCATCTGTCCCATGACATTATCTGTCACGGTCCTAATGCACTGAGGGGCTGAGTGTCCAGGAGCTCGGGCTTGACATCCAGTGTGGGAACTGCAGGACCCTGGGTGAGGACCATGGCTATGTCAGATCCTCCGCAGATGATGGTGAAGGTTCGGGCTTCCTCTGGTCCAGGAAGCTGTGGAGAGATGGGAGATCCCAGGGCAGTGAGGGAAGGGGAGGAAGGGTGGGGGATGGAGGAGGAGAAGGAAGGTCAAAGTGAGAAGGGGGGTGTCAGGAAACATGTGCACTGCTGGGCCAAGCAAGGATGGGGCTGTCTGCCCAGGGGCTGCCAGTCCGGGTGCCCCTTGGCACTCACCCCATGCAGCTGGCCCCGGCGTGCCCGTGCCAGCAGGCTCTCCCAGTGCAGCTGCTGTGCCAGCTGTTCCAGAGCCCGCAGCTGTGCCTGGTGCTGTTCCTGACGTCGCTGGAGCCGCCGCACCCTCTGCTGGAGGGCTCCCAGCACGGCACCCAGCCTGGCCCTGGGGTGCTGGGGAGGGACTCCGTGTGGGGGTGCTGGGGCTGCTGGTGGAAGGGGCATCGGGGTCAGGAAGACAGTGGCCTTGGCCTCAGGGCCTCCAGATGCTGGCCCCAGTACCACCAGGTGTACAGGGCCTTGTTGGGGGTTGGCTGGGCCTGGGGGCTGGGGCGTGGCCTCCTGCAGAGGTGGTGGCACCTGAGGGTTCTCCTTGCTTCCGCTGCTTTGCTCCCTCTGGAAGACAGGATGAGGGATGGGGGAGTGGGCCTCAGGGCAGGAATTCAAGCAGGTGTAGGGGTTAGACTCCTTAGGGGCACTTTACTCAGGAAAGGACTGGGGACCAGACTCCACATTTTCCGGTAGAAAAGGCTGGTGGCAGACGTTTACCTTGCTGGGGCCTGGGTTAAAGATCGAGGGCACTGCATCTGGGCGCAGGTAGCGCACCCCCCAGCGCCACTGGAAGCAGGAGGGCGTGAAGTGCTCGCTGCACAGATGCTGGTGGCAGCTGGGCACCCACTGCTCACGGCCCATGTGCCGCAGCCAGGCCTGCAGCCGGGGGCCATCCTTCAGGGGGAACCTGCAGAGGTGAGCAGTGATGAAAGGTCCAAACCCATCCCAGAGGGCGCGCACACCCTTGGGTGCTGGAGGGCAGGCCTTGTCTCCCCTAGCAGACACTGGCGCTGCTCCCACAGGGGCACTTGACGCGGTCCACGCCAGGCCCTTCAGCTGCCCCTTGTAAGCAGCCAGCATCCACCCACCTCTCCCACCTCCACTGCCCATCCCGTCCCGGCACCACTCTCTCTGGCCTGGATTCTTGCAGTAACCCCCTGAGCAGGCCACTTTCCAAGCCCTCCCCAATCTGTTCCTCTATGTGAACCTGAGAAAGTAGTTTACAAAGTCAGGCCAGTCTGGAATGTGGGAGATCCTACATTCATGTGATCTGGATGGGGTGAGAGGTTAGAAGAAGTTTAAAAACAGCCCTGCCTGGTGGTGCAACGGGTTAAAGCACAGCACTGCGAAGCTCTCTGAAGCCACTGCAGCATGAGTTCGATTCTTGGCCAGGAAGCTGACCCACTTGGTGCGGCAGATCTCCCCTGCCCCACCTGCTGCTCCCCTCAGCAGTGTACTTCATCGTTCTGCCTGTTCTGCTCCCCACTCTGTCTCTGCTGAATCCTCTCGTTACCTGCACTTCTGACCTGTACCCCACTTCTCTATGTATAAATAATCTTTAAAAAAAAAGAAATTTAAGAACCAGCAGTTGAAATGCAGGATGTGAGCCTTGTCAACAACATTTCCCTAGAAAGAAAGGGAATTTAAAGGAAACACCTTTTAACACAGTTGGGGAAAACTGAATATTTGTATTTACATAATTGTAATTAATTTTGCTAGATGTGGTAATTCTATTGATTTCTAAAATACTTATAAATAGGCATCTATTGGAAAGACACTCTGAAATACTATGGATAAAGACATAAGGTCTGGAATTTACATTAAAGCACTGCATTAAAATAATAAACAA